CCCGCGGCACACTACTCACAAAAGCTCTAACAAGCCAAGCTTATACAGAGACTACAAGTAAAATAATGCCGCGTATGTACCACTCACCCAACCGGTTCAAGAGCAAATTATGATTAACGTAAAACAGGAAAAATAAAAAACAATAAATACCGAATTGTTAACTAAATAATATTAATATTATCAGCACTCAAACACACCCAACGCACATATCAGTACAAAGCGTAACAAAATGCATACATCTATAACATGCATACATGGATATATATATCTCCACAAATCCAGTAATATGTAATTATTATATTATTTATATTATTTCATATTAATAGTAACATAAATGTGCATATATTAGCATATATATTCAAGTAAAGGATATTCAGGTGACGTCACGTAGACAACTCTGATGACGTCACAATTGAAAATTGAGCCACAGCTGACTTTGTTGCGCTGCGCGTTGATAAGACTTGTTGGATGCGTTCCCAGCGTATACGCCTGTTACTATGACTTTGAAGTTTGATGACAAAAACAACGCTATGATGATTTGAAATAATAATCCTTTTCCAAAAAACAAATTTAAGATTTAAAAAACGATGATAAAACTATAAAATGTTGATCCAAAATAAAAATCAAAGATCCCAAATGACTCAATACACTGAGCTTTTGAAAAAGATATATTTTTTATTATTAATTGCTTCCCGGAAAGCAGGTGGATGGCCCGTTTTACCGGAGCACAACCAGCACACGTCCGAACTCAACCAAGTCTAAATAACAATATTGCCTTTAATAAAAGTTATTGAAACAGAAAAATCACACACTTTCAACCACTGGTGAAGATAACACTTATATTATTTATTCTTTAATTAGTGTGATTGGTACAGATTGAAGTCGAACAGATTAGTCAAATATTTTAGTCAAATTAATTGAGATTCATGAGCAATCATGAGTGACAAGTGATGCATTTCAACAAGAAGATTTTTGCATCTTGCAAAAGCCTGAAGAGGGCAAAAAAGTTTTTTGTTAAGGGGTAATTGGAAAAAAAGGAATGAACTTGACAAAGGGTAAAATAATGAGATTAAATAAGATTGCACCATTAAGGAGAAATCATAAGGATTGAAAAACAAATGAGCATTGATAACTGCAAGAAACTCTTTGTAATAAGTAATCAATATATCAGTTGACTAATATAATTATTTTATCTGTGTCTTAGCATTGGCAAAATGCATAAAAAGTACTATATGAATAATGGCAATAGCGAGAAGAAATTAGAAGAATAAGATACAAATATGTATTGATAACTGCAAGAAATTCTTTTCAACTAATCAATTTTTCAGTTGACTACCACTGTTATGCCTTTTTTTTTTCTCTTAGCATCTAAACAATGGCAACATGTCAAGAGCAAGTCAACATTTTAATTATTAATTAAATTACTACTCTGTGCAGAAAGTAAATATTTGTATATGCAGATTGGGCATTATAGAAGTTCTTTAATAAGCTAGGATGAAGCCTATATACCGTATATCTAAATTATGGACCGTCTCTTGTGTGTTTATAAACCTATGTAAACAGTATAAACATAGATGCCTTCCAAACTCCTTCTGTATGATAGAGTGATATATGGCTCCCGGAAATATTTGTATTTGGAAAGAGAAGGATATGATAGCAATGGAAGGGATTATTAATTAACTTGATGCTTCCTGTGGGATTATAGTTTCCCTGTTTTTGGATAAACAAGATATATTAACCTTTATATGGATTTGTGCAGTCTGTATATTGTTGCTTGTATCCAGAATACTATATACCATCCTTTAATTAAAGCCCCTCTAAAGTATTGGGATCCCCGAATTCACCAAAAATTTGATGTCAAAATTTAACTTAAATTTTATCATAATGTGAAAGAGGATGTCATTTAGGACACACTTCTGCAAAGATTCCCCCCCCCCCCCCCCAAAAAAAAAAAAAAAATGTGTTTGAAGACAAATATAGATAAAAGAACATATAATTTGGGTTTTCTGTTGCATGCAGGAAACCTAAATTTTGTTATCTTTCAGTCAAAATGACATCCTCTTTCACATTATGATACAGTTTAAGTGAAATTTTGCCATCAATTTTGTTTGGGCTCCCAACACTTTAGAGGGGCTTTAATGTACAATTTTTTTTTTAAATAATGGTTTTGCTGGTAATGTGTTATATGTATTCATACTGAACACCTACTTCTAAAAACAGAATTTGTTTTCCTGTGCATCACAAGCAGTAGACTAGTGAAACATTTAGCTAGAACTAACCTTAAAATTAGAATTCCATGCTATACTGCCGTTTTTTTAGACAGCATTTGAAAGTTCCATTGTTTTCATGAAGTGGCTGAACATAAAATAATTAGATACTTCAGTTGAGACAGTAGAACAATTTCAAAATATAGTATGTAAGCTAAAACCTGTGATTTCCTTATTGAAATCAACCTTGGAAGTCATGATTGAGAATATCTAGCGTATGTCTGGATGGTGACCTTTTGTTTCATGGACAATCTGAAATGTTATCTTAACATTCAAAGTGGATGTCCAAACACATATTAATTGTGAAGTCATATTAGGGTGACCTTTGCATGAAAAAGCAAACTTTATCCCCACAATGCACATAAGTGCTTGTGCATTAAGCCCTGTGATGGAACTTAATTGCTACATGTATTCACTAAATGTACATGTACTTGCGTGGGAGGCCGCGGAGAGTAAATAAAGTGTCATTTAAAAGCTGTAGGCCTTGATACATTGATCAATTTGGGCAAGTCCAAATGACTTGGTGAAATTCCTTATGCAGTAATCGTAGTAGCAGCTCCTAGGAGGGGTCTTTTAAGTTGTAAAACCATTAGAATTCTCTAAGCTTTGTTGTTTTCTTGAATCCCTAAGATTCAGCCAGCTCATTAAGCAGTCGTATCACTGACCTGACTGTCTCCTCACGAGGCCATCATACTCTAAGCCATAAACCGTGACAAGAATTCTAGCAGATGATCTTCCATCCTTGCTCTAGCCATGTATGATACGTTTCATTTGCTCTTCTTGGCAATTTCAGTCTATACTGGGTGTGAACTTAAGCAAAACAACTTTTATAATTAATAGTAATTTTATTTAAAAAATGCAATTTAATCATAAATGCAAATTAAATTTACAGTGCTAAAACTGAACATTTCTGGAGGAATTTCATTTCAGATCATCAGACTTTTAAGCAATGATTTCTTGAACAAAAATATTTCGTGTGGAATCTAAAAAGTAGCCCTTAAAACGGTCCCTTCATGGTATATTGCATATTACCTGACACTATGTATTACATGAAGTAGATAAAAGGGCAGCCATCACTACGTCTCCTTCACAAACATTCACTTTTTCATGTATTCGCATGAATTGATACTGAGGTAAGCTGTCTGGCAAGGGATGTCGAATACTTTGTCTTTCCAAGTAAGCTCCTCCATTCCTCCAGTGTGTCTTGCAGGACAGGTGAAAATGATGAATGTCTGTTGTTTGACAAATACCCTGCATTTTGATCAATTCTAAAGCTTGTATCATTAATAATGTATAGGAGAATCTACCTTGTAACATTATACCTTATAACATTATAACATTTCATGTAAAAGATTTTGGTACAAATCTGCAGTAAGAAAAATATCATGATTTCTGTACGCCAACATATAGAGCTTAAAACTTAAGAAGATGAAGATAACACATGATGTATTGGTAGATGTTTGCAGTGTAAAGCTATTACTCTTCCCCGTGCCGTCATATGAAGTCATTGATACTTAACTGCATACAGTGAAAAATGTTAAATAGCTATTCATGTTACTAAGATGTCGAAAGAAAACTAGGCTACTTGACTGTGGTTTGCGGGAGAAAACTCATGAGTCAGGCACGCTATTTGCATTTCTTAGGCTTCAGAGGGGATGGCTTTTCTTTTTGTGGCTGAGTGGATTCTGGAAAGCGTACCCTTCTCTTTTTCCTGAACCCCAAGGGCATGCAAGCTGTATTAAATTGAAAATCCCGAAAAGAGTGGATTATTCGAAGTAAACAGCTGGATTAAGAACTAGACGGAGTATGGAAGAGATGGAAGGTCCTTAGAATTGAAGTGGAATTGTTATAGGATGATGAATACTGCATGCATTTTTAATTTATTTAGCTTGAAACGAGGGCTTTCCACTGCATACTGATACTCGATAGGAGTGAAAGCTTTGCATGTTGTAGGGTTCGCTTTTAACGCCACCTCGCGTGAATGTTGATATTGTATTGCCGTGGGGATGGGGTCCTTGGATATTTGATTTTAGAATCGAGGAACGGCCTTGAAAGGTACCTTTCAAGGTAAACAGTGCTCTATGTACGAAAAATATTGATTGTAGGAGACGGTTTTTTTTCCTATGAATCTTCCAGAATAAGAGGACGAGGGTGGCAGAATTAATGAGAGATATTGTGGAAGCATTATCGTGGGAGTCGCCATGTGTGAAATGAGAAATAATGCAAGAGTAGCAAGTGTGATATAAGTGCATGTCCTATTAAAGTAATCAATGATCCATTATATTCAACATGGATTCTCAAATCACTGATAACAGGCAACTATACATGTTACTGATTTTTCATTTTTTTAAACATTGAGAATAGTTTTGGTTGATATATTTCTTAGTGAACATATATTTTGTTATTAAAACTGTTGTTAAAGAGTAATTTTAATCAATTTTCTATGAAGTACATTATTTTTTATATTTATTTTGAAAATAAGGTTTTGTTTATGTGCACTGTACTATTACTTGTTCAGAGAAATATACACATGTCTAATTAGATTATATAGCAACATCATGTTAATGAAACAGACATTTGCCATTTACATTTTATCAGAATTGAATTCATTTAATTTTGTCATTGTAATAATCTGACATGAGAACTGGTGTTTAATACTGTACAACACAAATAATCACAATCAGTTATGAACATAGCTTTTACAAGTCTTGTATATTTGTTCTCCCTTATTACAGATCTGCAACACCATACCATGGTTTTATGATCATGAACAGACTGAGCCTTCACAACTTGACTGAACCAATCACTAAGGATTTGGACTACACTCTCCAAGAACCATTCTTGCTCTACAAGACTGCAAAAGGTACAGAATATGGTTTATTAATCAATAACCTTTAAGATATATCTTATACATTGCTGCCTCAAACTTAAAATCAGACAATGGTTTGATGGCATGTTTCTTGTCAGTGACCAATCAGAATCTATACAAGATACACTGAGCAGTCCTGCCTCAAACTTGAAATCAGACAATGGTTTGATTGCATATTTCTTGTCAGTGACCAATCAGAATCTATACAAGATACAGCAGTCCTATCTCAAAGTTGAAATCAGGCAATGGTTTGATTGCATTTTTCTTGTCAATGACCAATCAGAATCTATACAAGATATAGCAGTCTTGCCTCAAACTTGAAATCAGAAAATGGTTTGATTGCATGTTTCTTGCCAGTGACCAATCAGAATCTGTACAAGATACAGCAGTCCTGTGCCTCAAACTTGAAATCAGATAATGGTTTGATTGCATGTTTCTTGTCAATCACCAATCAGAATCTATACAAAATACAGCAGTCCTGCCTCAAACTTGAAATCAGACAATGGTTTGATTGCATGTTTCTTGTCAGTGAATAATCAGAATCTATAGAAGATACAGCAGCCCTGCCTCAAACTCGAATCGCACAATGGTTTGATTGCATGTTTCTTGTCAGTGACCAATCATAATCTCAACAAGATACAGCAGTCCTGCCTCAAACTTGAAATCAGACAATGGTTTGATTGCATGTTTCTTGTCAATGTCCAAACAGAATCAGATACAGCAGAAAACTTGATTCTGATTGGATAACTAGATGGATGTTGTAGCTCAGGAAGAAGCAATCTGCAATCAAATAAGTAAATATGTCAGCAGTAAATCTTCTCCAAGCAACAACAAAAAAACAAAAAACATTCAAAATGATTATTTGGTCCATTATAGATTAAATGACAACATTTATCAGTTATCCAACAGTATTTTTAATATGACGAATACCAAAAAGAAAATACTTTCCACTGAATACCAAGCCAGAGAATACTTTGATTGCAACTTATTGGAAAGCATGCTAATGGAAATGAAAACATCGTGGGTTACTTATACAGATTACAGCCAAAGCAAGGTCCCTTAAGAGGGATAAATCCCGGATAATGTTGATTTTAAAACTCGACGAGACAATGTACAATACAGTCATTTGTTATGAGGAATGTTCCAGGGGTTGAATAATTTGGGATTAGAAACATAGAGATTGCCCTCATGGACTGACCTATTAGCTTGAGAGCACATGAGATGGTATGTCCCTGTAGGAAAGCATCCAATTTCACTCTGGAAGACGTTCTCTTAGGATCCTGATGCATCAAATAACCCACCACCACTCACTTAGCAAATTAGAACTTTACCTTGCTCCCAGATACCCTCTCTGACTCTGATCATCAGGCTAGTCGGATAGCTTTTAGGGTCACACAATGTTTCTCTCTCGTTCAGACCAGCGTTGTATATGGTAGCTATATGATAAGTGAACACGATGTATGCTATAGAGTAAGTAATTTATATACATCAAACAAAGGTTTGAGCATCATTTCAAACAACACTGGAGAAAATAATAGGATCTATTGCAGAAGTAACGATTGAAATCAAACAAACTTCATGGTGATTCTTGAAATGACGTTTCTTTGTACAATTTTTTTGTATATATATCCTGTCTCGTGTGAATGCCCCATCATTGGTTTCCCTGGGCCAAACTGTTGGATGTCAGTCATGTAAGAACACACCTTTCACTTCATGGTGATTCTTCACACAACGTTTCTTTGTACAAATTCGGTGTGAACCCTGTCTTGTGTGAATGCCCCATCATCGGTTTCCCTGGGCCAAACTGTTGGATGTCAGTCAGTGACAGTGTCCGTCTTCAATTCGCTAAGTGCTAACTTCTATTTAGTCTGATGTCAGATCATCAATCCTTATGTCGGCGTTGGTGTACTTTTCTCTCCTATTATTTGGTCAGTTCAAGCCCTGTGTAAAGACTCTCCTTTCTGGAGTTTGGTAGCATAGTTATGTAGTGCTGGTCAGGTGGAACATATACTTATCATAATGTGATGTTGATGCAAGAAAATGAAATGTACAATTCAGCCTTCCTCCTAAAAATAGGTATACAATCCTGGAAGACTCCAAGATTTTCATATATCTTTTAAGATCATCAAAATGCCTACAGGTATATTTTCTTGTCTCCCATTTGTCATGTCCTCAATGATTAGTTCTTTCATCTGGGTGTTTCAATAGTATCCAGGATTTTAAAAGAAATGTCATGTTTTCAATGATCATAATACTCTTACATTATATTAGATGTTTGTGACAAACCAGTTTGATTGTAAGAACAATGAATTACTATTGAATACATTCTATATGTGATCAGACAGGTTTTCTTTAATTTTCTTGTTGCAATTTCTGAAAAAAAAGAGAGAAAAAGGTGGGAAACGTAATGAAGTTCAAATCGTGCCTGACAAGCATTTGATGTAAAAAGTGGCAAGATGAAGACAAATTCCTGTGGATGTGACAAGTTGAAATCGTATGCATGTACATGCAACATCATATTTCATTTCCCGTGCCCCCAAAACGCCTAAAGTGCTGACTTCCTTTTTTTTTCCATCTGAACGCCCCTTGCATATATCCGAAACCAGGAAATAGAATACCATTCTAAAGTACACCCTGTACATGCTACATGCCCGAGATTGGTGTTATTCACAAATAACACAGTTTTAGTCCATTTGTTGTTTGGGGGGGGGGGGGAGGGAAGTATGAACAAATAAATTGTTCATAATTGTGGTCATGTAAGTTGCAAGAAAGGGAATGCAAGTAATTCATGTTCGATGTTTCTTTTCATCATTAAGTAAAAAAAAGGAAGATGATAGGAAGGGAATGAAGATGAGATGAGATGTTGCTTTAGAAACTTGCTTTTATTTAAAAACATCCAAGATGGTAAATTAATCCCATTTGAAGTTTTTTTTCCTGTTTCACAGTTTGTTTGGATTAAGAATAGAACTTGTGTCTTCTGTCAAAAGACACTGGTAGATGCGTTTTGTAATGTTTAAGTTTATTCTATTGAAATATGACCAAATTTTGCATTGAAACATTGAATTTATACCTCAAAATACATCTTGTGAAAGTTCATTTATTATTCATTATAAACATGGTGGCAGCGAACAGGTAAATTATGGAATTTTTTATCATATTGTATCCACATCCATTAACATTGTCTTTAGTATAAACAAAATACAGGAATCTGTGGTTTCAGCGAATCTCCACCTTAATCCTTTATGTATTTAATAGTGTCATCCCAAAACAGAGTAAACAAAAAATTTCTGCATATTTTAATCAGTTTGAAATACTGTCTTTTTTCTCAAAAGATCTTCAATGCAAGACATCAGGCTCTGATGGTGACAAATCGAAATACTTTCATATTATGAACTTTGTGGTATGTTTTATTATTTTGTCATCTACAGCAATCTGTGGGATCTGGTTTTACAACAGGAAAGACTGTATTAGATTTGCAGAACTGATTCAAAGGTAAATTATTTGATATTGCACCACTCACCACAAATCATATTTATTCATTTCTACATATGATAATGTTTTCTCTCTTGTTTGTTCAGATATTTCTTGTTTATGTGCTTTGTATCTAATGGACAGGAGCTATGTAATGTAATATTATCATGTTATAAGCTAGGATCATTAAAACACAACAGATTTGCAGTTTTATGTTGGTGAAATTGAAATAATAGGGATTGATGACCCTCTCTCATACTTGCCTGTGTTAGAGAGGTCACATCTGCGTTTTAAAACAATCTCTTCCCTCCGTTTTGCGTTCATCAATTTGATTAACGGAAGTAGGTCGATGTTAATTAATAGCAGGGGTTTACAGATGGCAATGTAGGTTGAAGCGTCATGTTTTCATAAAAGAGTTTGGAAGTTCAATCAAGTCTGAATGCTACATCTATTGTCTGACATCCTGATATTTATCATGATAAAAGATGAATGTAGTTGTTCCCTTAGGCCTACTACATGCCTCTTTATCATGATAAACCTTTTATTGAAGCCCTGGATTATGTCATTTGTCAAAAATGTTGTATTTTCACTGTTAATTATTACTGTATTATTATCAATTTTTGTATCCATTTGATCTGTTATGATTGTAAAGGAATCTGCGATCTGGCCATCTGGCCACGATTGATTTCTTATTGATAAATTGTTTTAAATTAATAAATAACTAAAGTTGGGAGGAGAAACATGTGTGTCTGTGCTGATAAGAACATAGTTTGCAGATGTAACAATATTGGATTGACACATATATCATCCGTGTGGAGGAATGGAGCATATACCCAGTGAGATAAGAAATATTCTTATAATGAATGTAGAATGTGAAATGATGATAATAATAACAGTGAATTCTATAGTATAGCCCTCATGTATGGCACATTTGCGATCCTGGTGCTCCATTATTATTACCCTGGCTTTAGCACGGCTGCCATTATGATGTTGGAGCATTTTAAGAAATTTATTCCTGCCAGGTACACATTTTCCTCACCTGGGTGCAGTGCGACAATTGTAGATTAATGTCTGGCCAAAGGAATTTAGTGCTGTGATGGGGATTTGAATCCTGTACCTTGTCCAGTAGACCACAACACATCTACATAATTATGAAATGATTATTTGGAATGAGCTGAGAGCACTATTCTATTTTCGGATCCTACACATAGCCTTTAAGCTTTAAAGAGACTATGAAAGATTGTGCACAAAAAAAATAGTGGACAAAATATATTTATTACATCAATAAATTGTCTTTTATTAAGCTTTACTTCAATATGTTAAATTTGAAAGGATGCTGACAACATTGGGGGTACATTTCATGTATTTAGAAGTGATTTTGTAAAAGGGAACATGGGAGAAAGGAAGGGACAAGCAGATACAATATTAACAACATCCGTGGACAAAGTAATTTAGCAATCAGAAGCCCCAAAGTGACAGAAAGAAGGAAAGATAGGGAAAGTAGGGTTCAAGCAGAGAGCAGAAGAATGAACTGTATTAATGAGATGATTCGATGTAGAACCAATGTCCAGTCAAGCTGTTAATTCATCTTTTCAGAGTCATCCATGTTTACTAATTTTGTCACTGATCAGAGTGCATTCTATGAAACAAATACCTTTCTTCTCTTCAAATTAGCTTGTCACTGTTTCACTATTTTGATGCTTTGACCTTGTGAAGTAACATTGACATAGAGAGGTGCTTTGTTGCAGGTTATTAATATATACCAAAAAGTCAATAGCTCTCCCTCTCTCTCTCTCTCTCTCTCTTTCTCTCTCTCTCTCTCTCTCTCTTTCTCTCTCTCTCTCTCTCTATCTCTCTATTTCTCTCTCTGTCTTTGTCTTTCTCCTTCTCCCTCTCCCTCACCCTATTTCCTTCCATACCTCTCTTCTTTTCTCCCTCTCTCTTAAAGGTATAGTTGAGTTCTTGTTTAAGATCGTATGAGGTGCTATCTTGTTTTTCAACAGCTGGTTCAAAATTACTGAATAATTGTGGAGCACCACAAATATTAGAAATGGTTATATTTATGGATATTTCAGCCGTCTCTGAACCAATTTTGATCAAACAAAGATGATTTTGTCATCTAAATTGTATATTCTTTCAAATTTGACACCCAGTTTTGTATTATCTCACAAAAACATATTTTGTGTAGCGCTCTCTGCAACAAAACTCAACTATCCCTTTAACAACATAGAACAGTTTTAACAAAATATATTTGGCAGAAGACATTGATATTGTTTTGATTCTGAATTGTTTTCATTGAATTCCTACCCTGTCATAAATAGCTAGGTTATATGATAACAATAGGTTTCACTCTATATATTTAAATCCTGTATATTTTCCTGTGGTCCTTGAACAGTCTTTAATTTTAAAATTTGTGTTCATTTTATCTCCTTGTAAATTATATGAATATTTCATTCAGTTCTTTTTTTAAAGTTCATTTTAAAGTTTCTTGTTACCTTCTCTTCAATCAATTTCATGTATTTTCAATGTTAAGACAACCTGGACACAGATGCAAAATAAAGCAATAAAATTAAGATATGAAACAGTGGGATAAACTAAGTGCTTTTTGGCAGTGTCCTAGCTTTTACAAAGTAATAATGATGAACAACAATACATACAATCAGAACATCTTTAACAGAATTATATTACAGTACAACAATACATAAAATATACAGCATATTTGACAGTTTATAAGGAGGGGGGTTGGCTGCGTTTGCTTGTCAAATGACTGAAGCCCTCATTGTGTGTTAATGTGCCCATCCCCTGTTTCATAGATGCAGGCTATGTTAAGTGGAAAACACTCTGTCCCTCGGATAGGACATTAAATGGAGGCCTGTGTAGAGGAGAGTCACCACCTTTGCACGTTAAGAACCCAAGTCACTATTCGTATAAGAGTAGGGGGAACTCTGGTGTAGTGATTCACCTGCACACCCCCTATCAGCTATACCGGGAGGAGAGACCCGAGGGTTACAGTGATTCAGTTCGCTTTTTTGCCTCCCAGGCACAGGTGACGCCAAATACTTAATAATAATAATAATATGTATCAAGTAAAAAACTCTGAAAATTTATTCTTTCTTTTTTTATGATGTTTTGTAGATTACTGGTCAAAATTAGACAGGAAGGGTCGCAGCCAGTCGCAGCAAGTATGCCCGCACCTACAGATATCCTATCAATGCTCAGTAAAGCACAGCATGAATATAAGGTGAGTGGTAATCGGTTTGTGCTCCATCGTTCTGATTCAATGAATAAATTTGCAGGAAAATACAATTCGTCAAAATTTGTGACGATTGCAGGTCATTTCCGTTCATAAATCACAAATTCCAATGTATAATTTCCATTAAATATTTTGACATGTTTTTATATTTCTTACAATAACATTTGGAGCTACCAGTAATGTTCCATGAAATTAGCATAAAGCATATGTTTAATGGAAGTAGATTGTGAGAGTAAGGCTTTATAATGGCGTACCGGTAAGTCCTTTGATCCTCTCTGGTATTTGATTTATGGCTTGTTCACGTAAGTTGCTGAAAACCGAGGCGTTTCCTTTTTTAATGTGTAAGTAAACGGCAAATGGCAATGAAAAAAAACTCTGTGTGTAACAGAAATTCTGCATGTTCTCACTTATCTTTGTAATATATAAACGTTTTTTAAACGGGGTGCCGCACAAGAAATTCAGTTACATTAAAAAAAAAAATGTACATATTTAATAATGTTGATTTCATGAAACACCAAATTATTAGAAAGAGCTAGAGTATGTAATTTCATGAGGAAAAAGCATTTTAAGACAAAAGGTGTATCTCTTCCTTGCTTGCTTTGCTTTACGAGTATTATTTAGAAACAGGATGATTTCAGGCAATAGAGTGTCTGAATGCTGTGTTATATGATGCCATAATGTGAAGTGAAGCGCATTATACATATATCATCATTTTTCAAAAGAGCGCCAAGGTTTACCTCGTGATGTGTGAGACGATGCATCAGGGGATCACATAAATGCCTGTAAAACCTTCGACGTATTCCATCTCATCCAAGAGAGGTCACATAACTGCTCTATGAAAGAGGATTGTATGAATATTTGACCTGTTTATTCCTATAGTCAGTCGGGAATGCAGTACAGGCATCTCACAAATTTTACAATTGAATATATGTACCACAGACAAGAACAAGATTAATGAGGTTAAATGGAATTTAGCATGAAGATTTAGCATGATGCAATGTTTGAACACAAGAGGGCAGTATACTAATGCCAATATTTCTGACTGCAAGCTTTGAATGTCCCATAGACATGTGATCCACTGGCGTACCTGGGGTACTCCGTCAGGGGGGGCAAGCGACCGAAACAAACAAAAAAGGCGATGCTAATTTTCACTTCTAGCGAGCGAGCGAGCAAAAAAAAATCTTTAAGTAACGTTTGGTATATAAACTGGTATTGTTGCAAGTTGGGGGGTGGGAACATTCACTTGTTAGCGACGTTAATTTCATGTTTTTGCAAACGAGTGTAGCGAGCAAGAAAAAAAAATCACTTCTTTTTTAATAATTGCCACTTAAACTTGGTTCAATGCAGGGCGCGGGAACAATATTGTGTTCAGGGTGATTTTATACCCATTTTAGCTAGCGAGCGAAAATACATCTTTCTCTCAATGAATTGCTATATAAAATTTGTTTCATTGTTGCAGGTAGGGGGCGGGCACAATCGTGTTTAAGGTAATGTCAATCCCATTTTGGCGGGCAGGCAACCCCCTACATTTCTCTTTTTAATGATATTGTAGCAGGTTAGTGGTGGGCACATATTTCCACGAGCTAGTGAGCGAAAAAAAAAATTACTTTTCTTTTATAGGGAAAATATGGTACATAAAACTTGGGTTCATTGTTCCATGTCAGGGACGTGATAATTAAAAGCGGTGTTATTTCTATTTTGGCGAGCGAGTGTAGCGAGCGAGCAAAAAAAAAAAACTTCTCTTTTATAGGGAAAGGAAAATATGGTACATAAACTTGGGTTCATTGTCCCATGTCAGGGACGTGATTATTAAAAGCGGTGTTATTTCTATTTTGGCGAGCGAGCGTAGCGAGCGAGCAAAATTTTTGTAATGATAATTGGTTCATAAATTTCAGATTTTTTGTTGCAGGGCAGGGCTTACACAATCATGTCTAAGGTGATGTTAATTCCATTTTGGCAAGCACGAGCACACCAAAACTTCTTTGAATAACGTTTGGTACATAATTATTAACTGGTTATTGCAGGTTGGGGCGGGCACGTTAGCGGTGTCAATTCCATTTTGGCGAGCGAGCATAGCGAGCAAGCAAAAAAAAATAATTCTCTTTTAATAGTAATTAATAAATAAACTTGTTTTTATTGGTGCAGGTCAGGATGGACGCAATCGCGTTTAACGCGATTCAATTCCTTTTTGGCGAGAGGGCGAAAAAAACTCTTCCATTTTTAATGATATTGTTGCAGGTCAAGGGTGGGCACAATTGTTTCCAAAGCAATGTCTATTCATTTTATTCGCGAGCGAGTGTAGCGAGCGAGAAAAATGAATTAGTCTCTTTTAGTAACATTTGGTACATAAATTGTGTGTTATTGTTGCCATGGTTGCAGGTCGGGGCCCGTCGGGGCAGGCACAATTGTATTCTAGGCAATACTAATCCTGTTCTTTTTTCAGGGGGACGAGCAAGTGAAAACATTTAATACAAAATAGGCTAGCAAGCAGTTCGCGCCAGCGAAGAGTTTTAAATTTGTTATATCACTTATATTTTCCTATTTTTATTTGTTTTAATTTTTCAGGGCCGTATGCGGAATATTTTTCTGGTGGGGGAGGGGGAAAGATGCGTTAAAAGTTTTCGAAGAATCTCAAAAGCAAAAGGAGTGAAGGAAGTTCGAGCGACCGAACTGGTCATGAGGGTACTTTTGCATTTTCAAAAGTAGAATTGAAGGATTTGGTATAGGCCTACACTACATTTTCAGGAAAAAAAACTGTACGTTTTCAAAATATCTGGGGTCAACTGCCCCCCCCCCCCCTGGTGCGTACGGCCATGGTCTTTTTTTTTTAAATTTCCCCATTTTTATTCCTTTTCTTTTCCCTTTTTCTTCCTTTTCTCTTCTTCTTCCTTTTTTCTTTCCTTTTTTTCCTTTTTTCTCTTTCTTTCCTTTTTTCTTCCCTTTTCCTTTTTTTCTTTTTCTTTCCTTTTCCTTTCTTTTCTTTTCTTTCCCCTTTTTCTTTTTTTCTCCTGGAGCCCGTCAGGGGGGGCACTCTGCCCCCCTGCCCCCCCCATAGGTACGCCAGTATGTGATCCATACTCTAGTATGTCCAATGGATAGATTTTGTTGAAATGCGCCATTGGAAAAGTACATGCAAAATGTGCCAGGTTGATTTTTTTTTTCATTGTTACTATGTTAAGGATACATGCACATACAAATTATTGCACAATCCATCAATGATCATTGGCAGTGCCATGATGGTTTAAATGTTTATGAATATCAACCACAACTCCTGACATAGAAATGGATAATTGTAGCTTTGCTGTGGATTCTGGTCAATTACAAGTCTTCAAGAGATGGATTTCTAGGCCCCATCCTATGTTTGTGCTTGATTGAAAATAAAAGCAAGCCTTCAAATCGATGGCACAGTTACAATCTCCCATTTGTTACTTATAGAAATTGCAATCTCTATGATACTTAAGTTGAGTGACAATCCAGTGCGATCACGAGCAAATTTTCACATTAAAGATGCTGCCAGAGTTTTGCATCTTGCATACAACGGGTCAAATAAACACCATTGCTAGCAGGGTAATCATTCATTTTTTACTTGATCAGTTCCTATGCATCATTTTCTTTTCTTTTTCAGCAAGGTACAAAGAAGAAGAGGAGTGCTTCAGAGAGCGGTCCTTCTCCCATAGGACCTGGTGGTGATGCTGGTGGTGGTGGTGCAGGAGTCATAAGACCAATCCCTGTCAAAGTTTCACCAGGTATGGAACTCAAAATGTTTGATATATAATACTCTCTCTTCAATTAGTTGTAGCAAGAGAGGATATAGTATACATTTTGATGATTAATGTTAAGTTTTTGTCAAAGAAGAAGAGGAGTGCTTCAGAGAGTGGTCCTTCTCCCATAGGACCTGGTGGTGATGCCAAAGTGATGTCAAAGTTTCACCAGGTATGGAACTCAAAGTCCATTCTAGATGTTTGATAGATAATACCTTCTCCTCAACAAGTTTTAACAGGAGAAAACAAATGATTGGTGTTGACAGTTGATGGTAAATTTTATTCATGAAACCTTTATCATGAAGATATACCTGATTGTAGTCCATGCTTATATTTCATTTCTTGAATGGGATGTGCCACCCACAGCAGGGAAGGGGTTGATTTGGTTGTTTCAACAATTACCACATTGAATACAAAGCCTGGAATAAATAGACGCAAGATCTGTTGAGGATATGTTTAACATCAAAATGATAATTCATCCAGTTAGTTTTTTGTTATCAGTTAAAACAATATAAGGATTTTAATATAACAAAATTCACTTAACCCTTTAGTTTGTCAAAAAAGGGGTGGGGTAATGTTTCTCAGGAATGAATTGCTTTTGGAAAGGTTTTAATAGCGGTTCCTTCCTTCATTGCCAAGAGCCCTGTATCACAAAACTTGTTATCGATAACAACTGCTACAGATCTATGACAAAGCTGCTCATAACCAATCAAATGTAAGGATTTCAATTATTCATAACAATTTTTGTATCATGAGGAAGTTGACTAAATCTTGATGTCTGAGCCCCTTAATTCTTAATCCCATGAGTAAATGTGTAACTGGTACCTCATATACATTTTCAGATCCTCCAATGTAGGTGGAGAGCATGGTATAGAAATGCATTTGCTTGGTCATGTACTGTAACCAGATACATCAGTTCATTATAACACCTGTTGTTTTTGTGAGTTTTTGTTTACAAGTGTGATCTCACACCGATATACACCATGCAAGGGGGTGCCTCATTACCTAGCACCCTAGTTTCCTGTTTTCACCTTGGGTATCAATTACACACATTGTTTATGAATGTTGAGAGCCAGAAGGGTGTTAATTACATAGGGTAATACCCTTCTGGCTCTCAGCAGAGCAGTAGTCAACAAGAAAATGAGACCTACATGTACGGAATGCATTTGATATTTTCATTTCTGTTGATGTTTTGAAGGTAAAAATGAAATAGAGCTATTTAACAATATTTGATGAAACTATTGGTCTATAATTAGTAAACAGAGGGATCAATGTTGAATTATGTTATGAGGATGATGATGAAAAACACAAAATATGATGATGATGATGATGATAATGATTAAGACTGTAAATATATTAATGACTATGATGATGATGGGTTGATTTAGTTCACTTATCTTATAAACGTCTATATGTCCAATGTACATGTTAATGAAATATTTTAAGTTGATTGTACAACAAAATTGATATGGAGGTGTTTTAGTATTTCATATATTTGTTTAGCCTTTCCTGAGTGAATCACTCAGTGATATTTATTAATGTTCTACAGGTCATGTGTCAAAAACAGATGATCAGATAACAGCACGAGGAGGAGCCAAGCCCAAGAGCAGTCCGATGGGTCCAAGGTTTCAGAGATCAGTTAGTATGCAGGATACCAGGAGTAAGACGACTACAACATCTAGCATAACTACCACTGCAGGTAATACCTTCATTTCAACTTTGATGAAATTAAACAGGAAGTTATAATTTCCTATGGTCATTATTTACGGTAAATGGGATATGTTCAATTTAATAAGATCCACATAAGCTATAGTATTTACCAAATTTGTAAGTCAGTGCAGAAGTTTCTGTTCATGTCAGCTGATCATTTCAGTCCTTATTCCTGTGTTTGAATATGATTTTAATTGATTTTGTAATCTTCTTTCACTCATCAAGGTTTATCGATAATTTGCAAACATGTATATTAAAGCTTATCTGCCACCCTGCAAGGTCACTGGACAGGTGGTTATCTCATCAACTCAGCTCTCAGTTAACATAAGAAAAAGAGGATCATGGGGGACCAATGGTCACCGATTAGGCATTGTTTGTTATATAGAGGGCGCAAGTAGCTACAAGTAGTGCAGTGGGCCTTTAAGAATATGTATGAATTTGACCTGCCTTTGGTTTGAAATTTCCACTGAATCACAATATTCATCACAGTTACCGTATTAAGATCAAGAGAAAACGATGTAGTAGACTATAATTCAGAAATCCTTTGTGCTGCTGCTGCAGGTAGAAAACACTGAGGATTTATACAGCTATAAGGAGATATATTTTACATTTTGATGAATTTGTGATAATTGAATCGTTGTTAAAGGCATTGTTTAAGAATGTTAAATCTGAGATGCATGGCCCTACGTGTTATTAGTGTCTTTGATATGGTGTAATATGGAAGTCCTCAAAAAATTGAGCTTCAAAATGATCATGAAGTGCCTCAAAAAAAATAAAAATCTTTGAGTGACCGGTTTGACCATACTCATTTTCCCCAATAGACAGTTGTGTTATTAAAACCATTAGGAAAACAATTTTTTGGGGGGATTTCCAATCACAAATATCTTGATAATCTGACAAGCGATCGGCTTGTAAAAGTCATGGGATTCCTGACTGACCTAAAGGTTTATAATTATGATTGCAGCATGAGCTAAATCCAGGGTTTTGTTTCAGAATCTAAGGCTATGTTACCGAGTCACTTTAAATCATACTCCTTTTCTACCTTGGATGTCCTTGTGATATGACAGGTCAGGGTGATGGTAGCAAGGTGATTCCTGTTCTTCAGAGGCTGATGTCACAAGGAGCTGAAGAAAGACCAGTCATCTCAGAGAAGGTGCAGGTCCACACATTAGAGAGTCTAGAGAAGATGCACACAACAAAAACAACAGAGGGCGCTACTGTAGCTTCTGCAGGCAAGAAACCAGAGGTAAGGTCTTACATCTGTAAATATTTTTCCATAGAATTATATGTTAATGGAACATGTGTGGAGATATACTTTTGCTATAGAGGAGGAATCTGAGTGGAAGGAGTTTTTTTGAACAGCTCAATATAGTCATGATGTGATGAATGCACTAGACAAATTAGTAAACTTCCTAAATTTACATGTGCACTTTACAAAGTACCATAACATGAGAATAATTTATTTATTTTAGAAAATAACCTCTTAAAATTATAACCATAAAAATAATTGTAGTATCAGAACCTTTTATGTTTAAAAAATTGCATTTACCTTTATCTGGTTTATGGCTATACAGGTACAAAGCCTGGAGAGCATAGAGAGCTTACATATACCTGGTGGAGGAGTCAGTGATAAGAGACCATCGGCTGCGGCTGCTGGCACAGCCGGGGCTCCTTCTAACGCTGAATCATCACAGCACCTCCAAAGACTTCTCCAGCGCCTTCAGAGTGGTGGAGCGGACACCGCTTCAGGACAGGGCCTGTTAGGTGCTGCACCGTCAAGCACCGCGATTGAACCTTCACAGGAGAGAGAGACACCGGAGAAGCTACCCTCACCATCCTCACAACAAACTGATATGAACCAAGCGTTGTTAGATAAGCTGAAGTGTGGGGCGCCGCCGGTGAACCTCTTGAAACCGTCTGGTGCTACCCTGACACCTAACCTCTTGGTGTCACAGTCACCGGGTGGTACCACAGATCCTAGTAGGGCACCACCTGCTATGAAACAGCTTTTTCCTGCGCCGATGGAAACGAGAAAGGTAGGTTTTTTAGTATGGTCGAATAAGATTTATTATCAAGTGTCTAAAAAAAAGGAGGGGGGAATTCTCTGCACACCAGTGTGATAAGCATTTGAAGGGTGGTATATTATTATGCTTAGAAAGCCACAAGTTCTATCCTTTTGTAGCTGTCAAAAATGATGCCATTCTAATTAGACCTTTTGAAAAAAATATAACTAATATCATTGAAATAATTTTTCAAACTCAAATGGTATAGAGCTCTAAGTCTTCTGCTGAGATGTTACACAGGTGCAGCTAAATGCACACATATTCATTGCTATTCCCTGGGGAAATGGAGCATTGTCATGAGTCTCATGACTTTATTCTCATCTTAACTGTCTATTTCAAAAATTGTCCAAACCTTAGTTGAGAACATTTTACAGTGATGCAAAGTTTTACTTTGCATATTAATGACAATTTCACAGGGTTTTTTAATGTTCTTCATGATCATGCAGAATGTTTTATGTCATATTTTATCATGTTTAAACACATCAATTTTTACTAACGCTTTAATAGTTTCCAAGAGTTCTAGATTTTTTGACATATCCCTTTTTTAGAAGCCCTATAGTTGCAGACGCTACCTTAACTTGCAGGAATTTTTTTTATGCTTTATATTCTTTCCTTGTTTTCTTTAACAGACCCCATCTCCTCCCACGACAATACTCGGTATACCTTCCAACCTCCTTACACCCGAACTCCTTAGAACACGCTCCACCAGTGAGTCATCATCCACACTACTCTCACCCCTGAAACTTAGTGGTTCAGTCCAGGCTGGCCAGGGTCAGGCTGTAGGGAAGAGGCCCGATCCATTGCTGCAGAGGGGTGTACCGTCTCTACTCACCAAGGAGCAGTTGGCCGCAACACTAACGCATCTCTTGAATGTAAGTTTTATATTTGGGTATTTTCATAAATGAAAACTTAGGTGTTAATGGCATACCATTATCAATGAGAAGATAATAATGATCATAAACTGAACATAAAACATTATCCCAAACGGTCAAAAAATGATCTTTTTGAAGTTTGTTTGGAGTCGATTAGGAGTTGGTTCAGTGATGTGACAGGTTTATGAAGGATCTACTCTGAAATAAAAGACAACATTTTTTGATTATTTGATTTGAGGTAATTTGATTCAAGATTTCTTAAGTTTTTTTACAAGGAAATAGAAAGGTAAATCTTAATTAAAGTTGTCATTTTATTATATATCATTTATATTACCCAACAAGATTTTGCCTGTACAGTTTATAAACAGAAGAATATGGAATTCTCTCTGTGATTTTGACGGTAACATTTATTTCATTATGCATCTCATTTCAGACTGATGATGATTTCTTGAGCAAGATCCACTCTGCATACACCCACTCTCTTCAGCGTCATCCCCCTTAAGACGGATGACCTTGTTTGGTGTTCACACCCCCCTTCATGTCCAACAGACTGCCCATTGAATTCTATGGATGATAAACGTTAATTGCATCTTGTGGGAATGCATCGTGTAATGAACACCCACTCTCTTCAGCGTCATCCCCCTTAAGACCACCTTGCTTGGATCAAGGGGACGTGTTCACACCCCCTCCACGTCCTACAAACTGCCCATTGAATCCTACGGATGATAAATGTTCATTGCATGTTGTGTGAATACATCTCGTAATGAACAATCGCTGTGTTGCGTAGAAAGCGAGGTACTTAATGACCTAAATGTCTTATGAATAATGCATTGCATAAACAACAACACCTAACCTTTACATCCATTCCTTACAGACTTTGTTGCTGTGACTGAAATCTAGCCATGAATAAAACTGTTCTGGAAATGTGTGAAAATCAGTGCAAAAAGATAGAAAGAAGGAGATGACCGTAAAAAACTTAGTCGTTGATACCTCGGCATAAAGTAAAGTCCCTTCAATCTCCTGCAAAATTTGAAGGAAATATTGTTTAATTATCTCATTAATGCAACATTTCATTTGTAAAGAGCATTTGCTGGATTGTATTTCTTACCAAACTATAAACAGTTATTATCAAGCAATATAAAGAATGAAAAGGATTTTAATAGTTTACAAATTATCATGTACAATGGGACATAAGTTTAATCTTTTTCCCTTCTCATGTGGATTAATCTGTGTAATTTTGACAAGATGACACAAAGTTCTTATGGTAGAACTATAGAGTATTACGGGGAGTCCAAATAAGGAGGTACCTGTAATTATAGCATTTTCTAACATAATCAAATTGAAAATAAAAATGATTTGAAATGCAAGTTTTTAACCGTTAAGACGATTGTTTTTTTAATATTAACCTACCCTTTCAATTCATAGATGTGTTTATTTGGCTTCTCTCTATGTTTAGCCATTGGCTACTGAATTCTCCAATTCACATAGGCTTAAAGGGGAAGTCCACCCTGAAATTAAGTTAGTTTTAATAGGAGTAGAAAAATGAGAGAAACAAGTCAGTGAAAGTTTGAGCAAATTCCGATTAAAAATAAGGAAGTTAGGATTTTTGAAGTTGTGATCAATCAAACACAAATTGGCAACTCTATGACGTATCATGCGAGCTCAACTTCCATTTGCTCAGTACTAAAAAAATCTAAAATTTTCATTTTCCCTCAAGAAAAATTTCAACCATACATGCACCCTAAATATAATAATTGCAAATATGTTTCTATACTCCCCCTGCAAGGAACAAATATATATTCCGTCATCAATAACGAAGAAAACATGATTTGATGGAATATTATGCACAAAGCAAATGAAGGAGAGCTCGTATAATAAGTCACAGAGTTGCCAATTTGTATTTGATTGATCACAACTTCAATAATTCATAACTTTCTTATTTTCATTCAGAATTTGCTCAAACTTTCACTCACCTGATTTTCTTATTATTCTGCCTCTATCGAAACAAACTTATTTTGGGGGTGGACTTTCCCTTTAATACAAAGACAACCCAGTTCCAGTAGGCAATGGGATCATTTAGGCTGATTGCACTTCCTACTTTATCAAAAGTCTTCTGTCTTTTTTTAAATCAAGATATAAAATATCTAATGGACATAACCCACCAATGATAAGTATTGAAAAGTATTAGCTTAATTCAGGTATACCAGTAGATGTCTATTAATAGTGCATGGTGTTTGCTTCCAGAGATAAAGTACTAAAGGACTGTGGCAGCTGTGATTATCCTGTTGTACTTACATGTTTTGTTTTGTTTCAAGTTTCTAGTTTATTTCAAGTCTCTTCATCATCAATTACAGCTTTATAATCAACAAAAACCTATTCAAAAATTGCAGATCATAAAAGTCGCACCTCCATTTTACTTATATTTTTAACCGCCATATTCTTTTAATGTTATATTCTGTCATTAAATGTGTTTTCATTCTTAAAATAATATGGTAATTGATTGATTGAAAGGATCTGTGCAATTTAATCATTTTTTTTAGATGTAACGTCATTTGCCTTGCTGCCAGTTATTGCGGTATTAAGATTTTGAAATGTGTATGAGGCATGTTCTCTTTAATTGATCAAATCTACAATTAATTCTTTTTTTGTCAATCAGTACCGTACCTAAATGCATAGTGTAAACAAATACTAATTTTGAATTCTTGTTCTGTCTAAACAATAATTGTTCAGAGTTGACCTCTTTAAAAACTGGACTTTTCTGAATAAATAATAGAATTGTGACATTCTTAGTAATGTCGTAAAATGTTATCTGGCATTAGGTTAGGAGGAGTCTAAATTGTTTGTCCGAGGATCAGGTGGTCTCTATTAAAATGAAATATTTTGTAAGCTGGTTTGAAGATATGTACATAAAACATTCTGATGATTAACAACATGCTCTAGGATGGTGAGGTCAAAAGTGTACATACATACTTACCGATGGATATGAAAATGGCATGATATTTTTCTGCATTTTAAAATCAGTGCTGTTATATTTATTGCTTTTGTTGTCTTGATAACACAACATCTATTAAATTCCTGGCCCAAAATTATTCATGATTCAGGCTTTTGATTGAGTGATTGTTTTGGTTGATTTCAAATTGATTTCTCAAAACCAACAAAAGTACTCAGGCACATTTCACACAAACTTTCATGTGAGTTGCACCTTGTTATTAAATCTTCTTGAAATTTGGTCAAAAAACTGTGGACACTTGCTAATTATGTTATTAGTTACTATCATTTTCAGCTTCATTTGCCAAATAAGTGAGGAAGATTTGTTCATCAATATTTCTAGGGACTTTTATGTTGCCGGCTTTGAGATGATGCTAGTAGTGTTGAAGTTTTTTTTATGTTGATTCAATGGTGATCAAAATGGATTAATTTCATAAGATGCACAAACCGCATTCTCAAGAACAACACCAAGATGGTTGATGTGAATATCAAGTCCTCTTTTAAACTTCCAGATAGTAACCTCACACACTCTGTGCTCAATGTACATTTTTAGTACTCCTATCATTAGGAGTCCTACAAATAATTCTGATCATGTCTCTTTAATGGCATGTTGATGCCAATGATTGTTGTACATGTAATGATGATATTCCAAAAACTTGAATGAATAGATTAAGTAATCATTACCAATCCTCCACTATCTTCAGGAATCCCAGATCCTAGAACCCCAGATAATACATGTATTAGTCACTCAAATTATAGTCCACTATTACATCAGCCATGACATATATAAGGACACCTCTGCAGTTGGACCAAAGGTCATGTCCATACACCACATGGGGAATAATGTCAATGATGATGACCACGGTCCAGGCATGATAAGTGACCAGTGCCGTGATTTACGTGGATGTAGAACGATGTCAATGATAATCTCCGGGATGACCATGGTCCAGCGATGATTAGTGACCATTGCTGTGATTGGATGTAGAACGATGTCAATGGTGATGTCCTGGATGAGCAAGGTCCAGCGATGCTTAGTGACCGGTGCTGTGATAATGCATGATGTAGAACGATGTCAATGATGTCGGGGATGACTAAGGTCCAGCGATGATTAGTGACCAGTGCCGTGATTTACGTGGATGAGATGCACAATTGTAATTTAAAGAACACTGTGCACAACGCCTACGCAATGCCCGACATGGTGTTACATATATCAGCAGGAGTGAACCATCTTGTGCAGCTAGGCCTCTGGAAACACTTTTAATTACTCACAAAGCTACTCTGTTTGAATAAAACTAATAAACTTTTTAATTTTTATTAAGTAAAAATGACTGATCTGATCATCATTGGTGGTTATTTGCAATGGTATCTCTAAATCCGATCAAAATATGATACATAAGCGACTAGTTCTGGAATTCTCAAGTTATATCAATTGATTCCTATAATGGTTGAAGAGTTGTGTGTACATGCATAATAATCTATGGCGACCCCCAGTCTAAAGGAATACAGTTTATGAACAAAGTTAGTTTACTAGTAAAAGAGGGGCTTCTAGTGACAAGTGAGAATTGGAACACCTAAAACATACCGCCCCCTGAATGAGGGTCGTTATGCAAACAGATCGACACATTTCTACTCTTTTCATGAGCCCCAAATCAATAAGAAAACCTTCAATCCGGCCTTCAGTATAAGTAATTTGTCAAGTTATATCGTCCATGCACCAGTCGAGTTAATCAAACTTTTCTCTTCCTACTAAAATGTTGGGATATGAACCCCCGACCACCATCTTGGAATGATGCAGTTTTAACAAACAGAAAGGTGGTATATAACAACTTCGACACAGCTTCTAATTGTTCATTTTGATGCCAAAATATTTCAAATGAACAGGGTACATGCATTACGAAAAATCAGAGGAACATACAATTAGAAAATAGATATTTGCCGATCAGAGAAGCAAAATGAATTCAATGGACCCGATCAACCTCAATGAAGATAATGATGATGATGCATATTAGAACCAAAACGGCATGATAGATTTGGAAGTATGTACGCATATAATTACGAAATTTAATGATACCTTTTTAGAAAGGAGACATTTCATTTGCTTGAATTTCGTAATCGACGGATTGACGTAGACTTGCGCTGATAGCCCCTTATTATCCCAGTCAGACCAACGAAGACCGACAAACGGACCGATCAGACAATTACATTACCAGGGGGGTGTTTCACAAAGATTCTAAGTTGAACTTATCTCTAAGTTGGACTTAAAAATTATGGAAAGCCGTTAGCATCTTTGAAAATATTTTGTAAAAGTTATTTTGAAAGGCATAAAATGTTGATTCAAATCATTCATATTTTCTATCATCAAGGAGATTTCATGTTCTGTATTTGGAATTTATAAAAAAAAGTATAAAATACTTGAATTTCTGCTTTTGAATATATTTCATTTTAAGACTCCAATGGCTGTCCATAATTTTTAAGTCCAACTTAGAGTTAAGTTCTACTTAGGATCTTTGTGAAACACCCCCCAGCAATGACAAGAAGCCATTCGGTTTGAAGTCGGTGTGGAATCGGTTTGGCGGTGTGAATGAGGTACCAACAATAATTCTAAAAAGGTAACATTGCTCATTATACAAAGGAGTAGTCGCAATGTCTACATTAGGGACTTTTAGATTTGCACAACGACAACGTGGATTGCTACGATCGACGTCCTTTTAATGTACTGCCTTGAATGGACGTTACACGTATCAGTCCACGCAAAATTTTGTAAAAGTCCCTATTGCCTTAGGATGACCACATCTTATACACATGATATAGATCTGAGCCCCGTCTTATAAAAAGTTGCAATTGATCCAAATCAATCGCAAGTCCTTCAATCAATCGCAAGATTGAAGTCTCCTTTCTCTTATGTACATAGTTGCGATTGATATCAACTCTTTATAAGACGACGCCCTGACGTCATCAGAACTAGACTGTAGGTGTTACTTCGTAAATTGTCAAAAGAGTCCGTTATCGAGTTGGCCTGTCTAAAGCAATGATATCCCCAAAACTCCCCCAAAACTGTTAGATGAACTGTCATCCTTCGTCAACGCCCGATTGTGTCTTTCAAGGAATTTGGTACTCGAATTTCAGTTTTCAAACTTTCTTTTTAAAATGTAGATATTTCTTGTTTTGCTCGTATAGAGGACAACATGCTACTAAACCCGTTTTGTTTGCTTCACTGAGTGCAAAGTACGTTAGAGCATTATTGAACGAGCTAGGGACACTAATTTTCTGGTCATTCCACAAACTGAAAAAGCAAAGGGATTTTACATGGTCGGTCATCATGATACTTGTATCAGTTGTATGATTTCCCCGCCTTTATCCCATACATCTCGATTCAGTGGAAATGCGGTGGTGTAATAACACCAAGTTGAGAAGCCGCACTGGAACACAAAGCATCGCAGAACAAAATATTTAAATCGTTTTTTTTTTCTTGCAGTCATTTTGACAAGCATGTAACACATCGTGCTTTTTTACTTGTCTATTTGAAAACGGTAGTCGCACCATTATTGCTCACTTCATGAAACGACCTTGTAAAATTGAATTGTCGTTATCTTCAAATGTCCGTAATGATTGCAAATTTCCTTTAAATAGATTGTGCTAGCTTATTAGTCGATTTAAACGGCTGTTCCATAAAGAGCACCCAGGTTCTCTTTTTATTATCCCAAGGTGTTTACTTCACACGCATTTTGAAAGCATTCACAAAGGAGGAAACTCATTCTTTTAATACAATAGCCCCCCTCTTCAAACTATATCCCTTCACTTCGATCCATACCAGTATTGTATTCCCCCACCCCTCCCCCCCCCCCCCCCCCCCCCCCCCCCCCCCTCCCTCCCCCTCCATCCAAATCCTCTCTATGCCCCATGCTCGAGATAATCACTAGACTAAAGAACTGTTTGTTCACATTGCCTCATCTTCATTCTCAAGAGTTTAAAGAGGAGTTTTCTCAAAAGGGAAAGGAATTTCAAAAAGTTTGCTTGTTATCTGCCCGTGATCGATATTGCGTTGAGGCATTTTGTTTGACTTGCTGCTGTTGTGTACAACAAGTTTTGAGCAACATATTTTTTGGCGGGGAAACTGGCATCGCATTAAGAAGGAAATCATGAGAAAGTAAATGTCAAATGGAGGCGAGGATAAACAGTTATGGTGTTTCCAATGATACTAATATCTCTTTGATATTGCAGTACCGGTGACTGTTCTCCGTTTGTAACAGAAACGTGCACTGTCTGTATTTGACAATTTATAGCTAATTCATAAGTGCACCGTTATACACATAGGCGATTTATTTCAAGATTTAAACGGGAAAGAGGGGGGGGGGGGTATTTATTGATATGCCATATACAAGCTTTGGTGAATAGCTAGAATTCATCAGCTTTTAGGCTTAATCCGTCATTTTTGCAAGATAGTAATTACAAATGAGAGTTAATCATGATTATCTTGACAAATTGAAAACTTAACATTGAATACAGCAAAGTGTAAGTTCAGCGGTATACCGCATGATTATGTAAGTGTGCTTTGCTTTAGTGAGTCACACAATCGTTTTGTCTTCTCTCAATAAAATATTCATATATTCGTTTTACATCTACTGCTGTAACCGAATTGGTTTCTGAACAAGTTCTATTGCATCGTCCTATCCCAGGTAGCTAGGTTGTCTCTTAAAATTAGCCGACACAAAAGAAGATGTGTATGCGAATCAATTTGTAACCTCTACGTGCCCTTTCTAATATCCTACGCCACTTATAAGAAGACCCATTAAGACGTCTGTTAAGCTTAAAGGGGGTGCATCTGAAGAGAGAACATGTAACCCCTCTTTATTTTCTTCTCTCTGGTCGCGATGCATAATGCAGCCGGAACGCGGTTGCGTAATTGAATAAATAACGCAAACTCGCCATTGCTTTCTCGCAATGTCCACACTCTGTTTGCAATGAGTTCTCTCTTCATTACACGACCTCAGTATAATAAGAGGTTCACGGTTTTAATTAAAAACTGATCATTTTTACGATGCAATTAATATGTAAAAGCAAATTAATTAGGTAGGGTTGTGGTTAGGAAAGTTACGTGCGTCATCTGCATGTAATGAAAACAAAGCTTTTAAGTTCACGCAATACTAAATCCAGTTTTAATGAAATATTATGTGGTCGTCAGCATATGCATTCAAGCATGTTTTGTTCATTAATGGATGCAAATGTCTAATGAGTATTGTTTTGTGAACACGGGTGATTCAATGGGAAGCATGTATACTATGGCGTAGATTGCAGAAGCTTATGATACAAGTGCATATACACATTATGATCTATATTGCAAGGACCATGTCTATACTCGGAAAGGTTCATCGTCTAAACACGGCACTCAGAATTCATAAAAGTTTTGTTTCAAACAAATCATTGTTTAAAAAAGACTGTCCTCTTTAAAAAAAAAAAAAAAAAAAAATTTTTAAAAAATGTGCATCTATGACCTCGCCGTATCCATACAGGCAATATTTCACTGTCCATACGGGTGTCAAAATGTCTCTCAGAGGTGACAGGAAAATGACTTTGTGGACACGACTGTAGCCGGCATACTATGCAAGTAGATGCACAATAACACTTTCAGTTTGAAAATGAACGGCTTCCTGCGATAAAGAAAACGTTTGATTATTCCATAATCTTCATTGATTCTTTTGTTATGTCACTGAGCATCGATTAAGTGAGGAAACGAATGTTCTCTTTGTTCAAGAAAGACATCACAAGAGGCGTTATCGAAGAAAATGGAACAAACACTGGGCTATGTAGCGGCCATTATGAACAAGCGCTATCGTTCAATAAAATAAGATGGAGAGAAAAGAACTTTAGGGACAGTACATCGTAAAATTTGTAATGAATGGTGATGAAAGAGATAAAAGGATTTGACTTTAATAAATAGAAGTGGGAGATGAATGGAAAATGTGATAGACAATAATAGTTTGAGCTTTTTAATAGAAATGGGGAGGAGACACAAAATTACATTCTGATAGCTTGGTAAGTGAAAACCGAATACTATGTCTCCGACAAGAACTTTTAGAATCGTAGTGAGCAGTTATTGTTTTAAGATGCTGTTAACTAAACAACAATTTGGCTTGAACAGAGAAGAGTGGTATTGCGAATAAGATATGGTTAGGCAATTATAGTTTCTGTTTTATGGGGATGAGTAT